ATAAAAGCCTGAAAAAGTAGGAGTGCAAAATATCCCTCTTTTCCCACTACGAAAAAATATTATCATTACTATCATAATTTATTCTCTATTTTATCTATCTTATTTTTTATCTATTTTATTTATCGTTATATGTTTATTTTTTGTATATTTTATGTATATTTTCAATAATTGCTCTTTTTTTTTTGTCTTACTGTAAAGTAAGGGACCCGGCTTTACATTTGCCAATTACAATGCACGAACCGTTGACAATAAAAAGGCATTGTTTATTTATTGGCATTAGACATAAACCACGGCATCAAGGCAGTAGACTATCACCACGCCAGCATTGTGTAACAGGGTCGATGTCAGTATGAGCTGATGAAGACATGTACATCTGTGGTCAGCACTCAGTCTACCAAAACATGGGATCTGCCTTCATTGGCCCTGCATGAGACATTGGGTTTTAAAGCATTTGCCCGATATTATTATGTCCTGTGGCTCAGACATTTGCCAGATACTGTAAAAAGATAAGTTTGACACCTTACGACAAGCAGACTCTACGCCAATTCATTTCCGCTTCCTTCTATTTGTCTTCAGACGCAGCCGATTTAGCAATAATTTAAAGCATTTCGAACCTTAAATCTTGAGATATCTTAAGTATGTAAATACGCAATGAGTATGCCCTTTCCATCATCTACTCCAAATCTACCCAGCACTCAAGTGTGAAACATTACGCACTTTACTGTCATAGACGTTCTAATGGCGTTACTCAGCATGCCTGGCTCAACATTGGAAAATGAGACGTAATTTCAATGATAGGGCTGAATTCCTTTTACTTACATTGAATCGCGTTATGGTACGAGACTTTCATCTTACATAATTCAATAAAGATAATAGGCTGGAGCACAATGAATTGATATGATTAGCGGCGGTGGAAAGTCTCTTCCATGCGGTACACCAGGCCGGTAAGCGCCATATGGTCGTCTTAATAACCGTACTGCAAGACGGCGTGGTGTTTGGCAGCAAAGTGCGTTTATATCGGTCGTAAAGACGCTGTAAAGTTATCAATCACAATTGTACTTTCGGGTCCATCTGGCTGCCTCCAAATATAGAAGATATTCTGTTCGATTACGATATCAGAAATCCTGAGAAAATATTTTCCCGAAAAACGCTCGTCTTTTACAGTCTTGCGGCTATCTAAAAAAGCTTTGTTCAATCACCAATTAAACAATCGCTAATCAAATGCCCACTTAAGACATGAGATTGAATTGTAAAATTCATCATGAGTTTTACTAGTTACATGTAGCTTGATGTTCATTTTACAACTTTTGCAATTCTTTTGTCGTTACGACTACGACCTTATGTACAAACGCTGTCTTCTCTGGCCGCACATTTTGTGGAGAGCATTTAATGCTTCCAGCGCTTTGCCTCCATTTCTTTCGAATAAACGTTGTTAAAAAAAATCTCAGAATAGGATTCAAGACACTACACCTTCAACAAGGGATCCCTCCCCTGAACATCAAAAGTACCTCGTTTCCTCTTCCCTTCTCCCTCTCCAAAAACAAAACAAAAAGCAATTTAACAAGTGAAGAAAGATGAAACTGCAGTCCAGTCTCACGGGAAAATGTTAGCATTGTGTTCTACCGCCCGTCACATGGCGGGCTCCCTGTGTCAGTTGACTCTTTAAATGGCGGGATTTAAAGTCGAGTTATGGTTGAGAGTTGTCATGGGTTAAGTACAGCGTTTTTTGTCTTTTTTTCCGACTTTTTCCGCACATCTCGGATTGAGACATGTGCAGTGCCGGCCCTGAGCCAAATCACGGTGCTTCCCAACCCCGCTAGCCCGCGGGTATCAAGTTACTTCTTCAGCTTCAACTTGCAGGACAGAAGTGGCTAGGATATTTGCGTTTCTTATCGTCAATGCCATTTTGACCTTTTCCTGTCCAAGAAACAAAATAATTCAGCGGCTCTATTATGTTTAGCAAATTGCTGAGTGCTAAAAGCATTATTTCCTTTTCTGTCAAATCGAAGGTTGGTCTAAGGGAAAGAAAACAAATACCTTTGCACTTTCTATCACTGTCCGTGCCGAACAATAACCAAATACGACACCAAATAACGACATCAATCACCCACTAATGGATTGAAATCACGCATGAAATGGAAGGGAGATAACAAATAAAGATAGGATCAGTAGCGGTGCTCATCCTCCTTCCCCTGCATTTAATATCCTCTCCTACGCCAATACCGATTCATTCCACGTGCAATAAATGCCCAAACGTCGCATACAAAGACTAATGGACGGATAGCGTTATTAATAACGCCGACACTGTCCACTGGCAAATAAGGCCATTTATTTACTGCAAAGAGATTCAATTCACCGGTCCAATTGATTCTTTTCGGTCTGAGTAGATAAAGATGACAAATGCCCAATGTCCAATTTAGAGTGTAACGTGTAAAGACACATAGACCGCTCTGCGTGAGTTCATTAGAAAGAATTACTGTATGGGAAATGGCAAAGTCAGATAAGTATATTTGCAAGAGAGCAAAAGGGAAGATTTTTCATCCACAGAACAACTTCTATCACTTTTTAGGAGAAAGTATGGCGTACAAAGACAAATATGGAAAACGTTGGGAGGGCGCATTTCAACTAGAACAAGTTACATGTACTAGACTTACGTATTGATAGTGATACGTAGTTTGTTCCCAACAAATTCTTGTTCAATTTTAAATCTTTCATTTTATCCTTTTTTTAACTTTCTGACTTTAATTTAGGCATCAGTCTCTGTATTTTGACCTACAGCATGCAAGCCTGGCCTCCGATGCACCACTCCCCACTTTGGTCGGATCCAAAAATTGAATACACTCGTGTACGTGCCCCACCTTTCTCTGAAGCAAGAGCTTTGTTCTATTCATGTCTTACATTTTCACCATGTGTAGTAATGTAGTTTGTGAGGAGGCATACCTTTGAGACGCAATTATGTGCTTTTTTGTGGACAAAAAGAAGATTTGAGACAATAAAATGCTGCAAATGGTGCTTTAAGAAATCAGAATCGTACGTTCGGTATATCTAAACGTTATGGCGTATCTAGTAAAATGAAATGCTCACATACGGTGACAGTGGAAATCTATCTGGTTTCTTGAAATATTGTCATGTGTAACATGCAAAAGTCGCATTAGAAGAAATTGTATCAAGTTTGGCTAAAAGCTATTTACCAGTCTTACACTGTCTCTGGGGGTATAGTCAAACCATAGGATGAGCAAGAACCTGCTGCAAAAATCGTTCCGTTTGGGAAAACCTAAATAACCCCTTTTAATGTCTCTCCTCGCCATGGCTATTTTCAGTCCCCAAGGTTTATCTAAAAGATAGCTAGGGTCAAGTAACAATTGTAATTTCTAGAAATAACTTTATGTATGTTTTATAAGAAACCAAAACATAAAACACACATTCAGGAATATCGATTAAATCCGGCAAAATTGGTCTGCAGTTAGATTCACTCCGGTCACTGAGGCACACACAGTGAAACTTGTCCGCAAAATATGGTTATTTTTCTCTATACGTGGCTGACCTGTCACGGCTGGTCTGAACATTGTGCCTGCTTGACTTGACGTCAAGTTTTGTACAATATCTCAGTCAAGAAGATATAATCCTACCTCTTAATATTGCTGCAAGTATTTCACTATGCCTTTATTATGCCTTCAGATACAAGAGTATTACTGATACCTCAATAAACATCTCAGTGCCATGCCAAGAAAAGGTTACTGACATCTTGTAGATATGTGCTAAATATCAAAACTCTTTAGGAAAAAAGCCTCAAGTCCGTCATTGGCCTTAGGAGAGTAAAATCTTCAGACGCAACGCTTTTCTGTTACCATGATAAACTCACTTTAAAACCATAATTAACACGCGTAAAATACTTTAAGTCTCCAATGACTTGGCTTAGACAGTGTGGTGAGAACGCAGTTAGAGAATCAACACAGAAACATACACAACGGCACGCGGGTCTTATTAACTGTAGACTTACCATTTGCCCTGAGTAGGACAGTTTGACTGTGTTCTGATTCCCCAGAGATGCAGTGGTGACACACAATGTGACAGCAATTACTGTAAATAAAAAGACGGTGTGAGTGCTCTCCCGGGAACACACGCCGGTGTGACAGGAATGGAAGTCCGCTAGGAAACGCACTCAGTTCCCCATTACTTTGTACAGGTGACATTCGACCCATTTACTAACCCCAATACTCCGACTAACCCTTAACTGTACTAATCATATTGGAGTCCGGACTTCAATTCCTAGGACTACCATTCCCGTCACAACGGTAGTTTTAAAGAGTTTAAAAAGATGATCAAATTTCTCGAATAAAAATTCTTTCAGCAATGTTTTGGCAAATAGAAGGCGGGGGTTTTCAGTGTTCGTATTTTAATGTTTCAACATTATTTCCAATTTAATGTTAATCTTAATGTTATTTAAAATGAAAGTATTGGTTGAAAACACGATATAAGCATATTATTGGAAGTATCGACATATCAGTGGACGCAAACAACCTATCGTTGACAGATGAGCTATATTCTCGGAATGTTAAACTGGTGTATTCCTTGATCTGAAAATAAAAGATTCGGCTCACTAAAAGACAATTGCCTGTGCCTTTCAAGACTTAAAACAGCCACGGTGCAAGATTATTGTTACTGTCTTAAATTTTTTATTCAGTTTTTAGATACCCTGCACAATTAATCTTAACGTTTGAAATCATGACATCCTTTGCACGCGCTGGGAAAATGCATTTCCTCCGTCATCGAGGATTATTTATTTTGTCTTGTAATTGTTCGACTTTTCACTTATAAATTTGAGGACATTTAATTATATCCTTCCACAGACACATCTAACCTTGATAATGTTATCTTCCTTTGGTAATGATTGTGATATTCAGCGTCGTTATCTTAGCCCAATTCCATGCAAATATAAATACAAACTACCTGCTTCTTCCATGGCAACAAACCACAGACAATAAACACACCTAGGACAGATGACGAAAGTAAAACACTTCCGGTGTTCTACTTAAGACGTCATAATACCATTTCTAACGACATTTACAAAGAAAATGAAATGGCTTTTTTCATTAAACGCGCAGGCTGCTGATGTCATAAGATGACGTACGTTGACAAAGATTCAATTTCCTTTACTGTTTCTTTTTTCTGAACCGTATATTTCTAGATAAATAGTTTTCAATGTTCTTTCGAATGTGGTTTTGATATAACAGCACCAATATCAAACATTCTCCACCTCTCGTTCCAGTCTGGAGACGATGCTGCCTCTGATGAAGTTAGTCGAGAACTGGACACTCTTGGTCAGGGCTACGCCCCCAGCATGTATGGCCGCCAGCTGGACAACCTGGGACAGGGCTTCGTCCATTCCATGTACGGCAGGGAGTCCGAAGATGGCGACGAGGCGAACGCGGAACCAGTGGACGAGGCAGAAGAATGGGGGAACGTTGCAAAACGACCCTTCGATAAGATCGGAAGCGGCCGGATGGCCTCCTTCGTGAAACGCCCCTTCGACAGAATCCAGAGCGGCCGCATGTCTTCTTTTGTCAAACGACCTTTCGACAGGATCAACGCAGGCAGATTGGCGTCCTTTGTCAAACGACCTTTTGACAAAATCGGCAGTGGACGACTGGCTTCTTTCGTCAAACGCCCCTTTGACAGGATAGGCGCAGGGAGAATAGCTTCTTTTGCGAAACGACCATTCGACAGAATCGGCGCCGGCCACATGTCATCTTTCGTGAAACGTCCATTCGACAGAATTCAAAGTGGCGCCATGGCGTCTTTTGTCAAAAGAGAAACTTCAAAAGGTATTATTTCTATGAGAACAACGTTTTAAATGGTTTATCTTTTCAATGACCTTGATGCCGTGCGTTGGCCCTGAAAAATTTCACTTTCATCTGCGGCTCAAACTCACTTTATTTCTAGTAATAGTACTTCCACATTTGTGAAAGTTTAAGATTATATCAAATAATTATACAGAAAATTCCTTTAGATTGGATTTGTGTAAACTGTAAATGTCAAATTACCCCGTAGATTGAAGGCCGTCGGGTGAATTAGATATGATAATAAGTCTTTAACTTTATTTTGTTACAGAGATTAGCCAAAAGGAAACTGCCAAGGCATAAAAGTCACCAGAAAAAAATGTCCCACTTCAATTCTTTAGGTGAGCAAAAAAATGACAATTTGATTAATGTTTGGGGTTTTTAACTTCAATTTTTCATTTTACAAATTTTATTTGTAGTATGTTAGTTAAAATTAACGACTGGACTTTTAATCGATGTCTTCTAGCATATATTATTTGTTTTTTTTTTTTTTTTTTTTTTTTTTTTTTTTTGTCATTGGCGCTGAGTAGAATACAGTCCAAAGTGACTATCAGATCTAAGTGTTTTGCAGTCATGTGTTTGCAGTCAGTCAGTGCGCCGGGGACTTGTTGGTTGTTCTCTGACTAGTTTTCACTGTGTCAGTTCTGACAGGAATCTTGTTGTCCATCTTGAAAGAAATGCCCGTTAGAAACATCTTGAATGCTTCCCTCCTACCAAAGGTACTGTTTCTGCTAAGGAGCTTCAGGTGTAGTTCCATACACTATAACTCCAAGAACAATTAAAATGTAATAGTTAAAACGCAGGCCAGCTTGTTCAAGATAGCTTAAAACAGAGAGGTGATCATTCCTTTCCCTGTTTAAATCATTTTCCAATAAACGTGATTGGTAAGACAAACAGACAAGCATTGTCTTGTATGCTAGAAACAGCAAAATGCTTTTAAATATACGTAATCAGTAGTAATCCTCAACCCACACACTGGCAGGCGTGGACTTCCCACCACTGAACTCAGCCTCCGTGCTTTATCTCCATTTTTTTGTATTCTTCCATCGCAAATTCTCGTTCTTTTTGGAGGGTTTTTGCACACAAGTCGTAAATGAAGCTATCTTTACGACTTGGATGTCGGTCGAAATGACGAAGAGATCATATAAATGAGGTTAACATTGTTAGAAATGNACCGGATTTACTCGAGGGAAAAAAGCTGGTTCATTACTTTGAAGAAAAAACGCCACCCTTCCCTGTCTGCACATTTAAATACTCTTGAAAAATGACAGTCGGAGCAGAGAGTGCAAGCGAATAGCCGATAAAAAACACGATCAAAAAATCTATTTCGATATATCGTATCAATATGATATTAATGTTTGTGCGGGTCTTGTAAGGTTAATTGCGCAAGTTTTGTAGAAGTAATACTATCTGTTGCAAGACCAAGGATTTACACACACGTCTTTGTAACAAAATGTTTTTAAAAGTAATATAGAAAATAGACCTTGCCTTTATTAAATCAGTTCACAATGTGCATTATTTAACCGATTCACGTCAAGCATTAAGTTTTTGACAAAAATCTACTACATTTAAATGAATCATTAAGAAGGCGTTTTTATCCGCACTTTAATAAGATATTTTATTGAAAACCATTTAGATATACGATGTCAGTGCGCTAGCCCCCACTTTTAAACTATAAAAAAATGTTAAGGTACTATTGAAAAAAAGAAACAAATTTAATGATTAACTTTTAATGATTTTGCCGATGCTTGGTGAATAATAAAATAAATTCTGGGAATGGTCTGTCTTTACTTTATTAATTGTAAACTATATGTTGGATGAAATTATAATCTTGAAAGTACATACATGTATAGTCTGAAACGAGCATAAAATTCTTGTAGCGTATACAACATAAATTGTTATTGCAAGTTTCACAGATAGGCTAAAATCCAGAAGCCAAAAGACCAAGCAAAATAAAAACTTGGGCAGCAGAAAAAGGCTTTTAAACTGGTGTTTTTTTTTTTTTTTAATTCCTGGTCATAAATTTAAGCTACTGTCTCTCCCTCCAGTCTGTAGAGCACAAATGTTTAGCTGAAAGTATCTGACAAATGTCACTCTTCGGGAAATAATGTAACGGAACTATGTGCCATTTCTCTAAATGATCCTGTTAGACACTATATACGGTGGCATTTGGTCGGGTTTAGCGGCAATAACGTGACAAAAGAACTCGCTCGCGTAATATACATCCTTAAATGTTATTTATGATCCTTTCGTTTTATGATGAAAAGAAATAATTTATATCATTAAAGTTGTGCAATTAAAAAGAAGTTTCCACATCTCTCGCGAGGGGTCCATTGGTGTTTCACAGAAAAAATGCCTCTAATCACTGCGCCTTCAGCCATGTCAGTGACCGCTCTGAGTGTAGAGACAGATCCCTCTCCATAGGTGCGTGTGTGGAGGGGGGGGGGGCACTTTACCAGCATGAAATATCTGATTAAGTCATTGTTTTTATCAATATCGGGGAGACCAACGGAAACACTGCATTGAGAAGGTCCGGACTATTTGTAAATATTTCTAGTGACCAAGTGCCCATGCCATGCATGAGGTTCAAATAATTCTACCTGAAGTCAAAGAGGTTACCCAGTCAGTAAAAAATGTAAAAATGTTTCTACGTACCCCGCACATACCGTACATGTTAATAAGAAGTCAACTTCAGTGAACATCTTGCCGGCTTGTCCAGACTGTATGAAGCACGTGTCAACCAGACACACGTGATCTCATTGCAATTAAGAACATCATCTGGTCTGATCACTCTTAAGTTCGGTTGGTCAGTTAATTGGGTTGTAACCCGGTATACAGTCATGCCACACGTACATATGTCAGCCGTGAAACCACTGAAGTTCGAAGGTTCATTGGTCCAAATGTGTATTATAAAACCTTCGGACTAACGAACCCTTTAATTAAAAACTCGTAAAATAGTATGTTTTTCGGACCAAAGAACCTTCGTACCAATGAAACTTCGGACAAATGAATCTTCAAATAATCGAGACGCTGCCGTGAAATCTGAAAATTTGTTCACGCAAGGGCATCAAAAATATAAGGTGTAGGAGTTTTGTTTTCATTCCACTGAAGCGTGGAGTGAAGGAGGAACGGTTCTAATGACGGACACAGTGAGAGTAAATAAAGTGATTTTAAAGTGATTTTATAGAAATGGTAAACGAAGTCAATTCCCGGGTAATCTGTTTGACTACCTTCACACCCTGCTGTCGCAACATAATATCCCCTCGACTAAATAGCTGATGTACATATTTGGTTTCTCTAAGCGATAAAGCATGTATGAGATCCTGTTTTTGGACGTGGGTGAGTGAGTGAAAAAATGAACGCCCGACCTCTATCTCAGCCACGAGTTAAGTATGAGGTTTATCTTCAGCACACAAGGAAACATTCTGCGCTGAAGATGACCTTACCCTAAAGAAACTAAGAACCAGCGTAGTTGTACAACAAAATAATTGGTCCAAAAGTTTAAACAGGTAACATTAGTATTGACAACTGTACAAATATAGGTCATAAAGTCGATAATTAATTCAGCATTTTTTTCAAAAGTAGTGTAGTAAATGGTTCTCGTGTACTTCAATTAAATCAGATATGTTGGCAGTATTCGTCTTTATTTATAGACTGAAAAAATTTGATTGGCTTTACTATGTCTATACTTATTTACATATTCTATAACAACATTTCGAAAAGAATTCCCCTTAATGTCTATTTTTCACATCCCCCCCCCCNATCGGATTTACTCGAGGGAAAAAAGCTGGTTCATTACTTTGAAGAAAAAACGCCACCCTTCCCTGTCTGCACATTTAAATACTCTTGAAAAATGACAGTCGGAGCAGAGAGTGCAAGCGATAAAAAACCGATAAAAAACACGATCAAAAAATCTATTTCGATATATCGTATCAATATGATATTAATGTTTGTGCGGGTCTTGTAAGGTTAATAGCGCAAGTTTTGTAGAAGTAATACTATCTGTTGCAAGACCAAGGATTTACACACACGTCTTTGTAACAAAATGTTTTTAAAAGTAATATAGAAAATAGACCTTGCCTTTATTAAATCAGTTCACAATGTGCATTATTTAACCGATTCACGTCAAGCATTAAGTTTTTGACAAAAATCTACTACATTTAAATGAGTCATTAAGCAGGCGTTTTTATCCGCACTTTAATAAGATATTTTATTGAAAACCATTTAGATATACGATGTCAGTGCGCTAGCCCCCACTTTTAAACTATAAAAAAATGTTAAGGTACTATTGAAAAAAAGAAACAATTTTAATGATTAACTTTTAATGATTTTGCCGATGCTTGGTGAATAATAAAATAAATTCTGGGAATGGTCTGTCTTTACTTTATTAATTGTAAACTATATGTTGGATGAAATTATAATCTTGAAAGTACATATATGTATAGTCTGAAACGAGCATAAAATTCTTGTAGCGTATACAACATAAATTGTTATTACAAGTTTCACAGATAGGCTAAAATCCAGAAGCCAAAAGACCAAGCAAAATAAAAAATCTTGGGCAGCAGAAAAAGGCTTTTAAACTGGTGTTTTTTTTTAATTCCTGGTCATAAATTTAAGCTACTGTCTCTCCCTCCAGTCTGTAGAGCACAAATGTTTAGCTGAAAGTATCTGACAAATGTCACTCTTCGGGAAATAATGTAACGGAACTATGTGCCATTTCTCTAAATGATCCTATTAGACACTATATACGGTGGCATTTGGTCGGGTTTAGCGGCAATAACGTGACAAAAGAACTCGCTCGCGTAATATACATCCTTAGATAAAATTTATGATCCTTTCGTTTTATGATGAAAAGAAATAATTTATTAAAGTTGTGCAATTAAAAAGAAGTTTCCATATCTCTCGCGAGGGGTCTATTGGTGTTTCACAGAAAAAAATGCCTCTAATCACTGCGCCTTCAGCCATGTCAGTGACCGCTCTGAGTGTAGAGACAGATCCCTCTCCATAGGTGTGTGTGTGTGTGTGTGTGTGGAGGGGGGGACACACTTTACCAGCATGAAATGTCGGATTAAGTCATTGTTTTTATCAATATCGGGGAGACCAACGGAAACACTGCATTGAGAAGGTCCGGACTATTTGTAAATATTTTTAGTGACCAAGTGCCCGTGCCATGCATGAGGTTCAAATAATTCTACCTGAAGTCAGAGAGGTTACCCAGTCAGTAAAAAATGTAAAAATGTTTCTACGTACCCCGCACATACCGTACATGTTAATAAGAAGTCAACTTCAGTGAACATCTTGCCGGCTTGTCCAGACTGTATGAAGCACGTGTCAGCCAGACACACGTGATCTCATTGCAATTAAGAACATCATCTGATCTGAT